TTGAACACTTGCTATCTAATCATCCCCTATTACTTTCGTTAAGAAAGGCGACGAAGCTTGGATCAAAGAGTAACTAATAATATTACTCAAATAATTATTAAGTATTCTTTGCTTGGATACTGTTTTTTAAACGGAAGTTGATAATTTATTATTAGATTTTAAACCTTCTTCTTTTTTTGATAGACTTTGTTTATTTATTACCCAGCGCACACCATAAAGCGAATATAAAAGAAAAATGCCGCATTACATTTTCTTCAGTAAAGCGGAGCTAAGCACGTATCTGTGCTAGGCTAAGAGTAAGCAACAGCAACTGATTTACCCTCGAATTTACCCGTGTAGGGGCGGGATCAAGAATACCCCTACCGCAGAGGGTGCTGCGTGTCGTAAGAGGCGACTAAACAAACTCTGAGTGATCGATAGTGTAAGATATTTTATATCGTTGCGTATGACTGGAATGAGGAAAACGAACTATTGTTTTTTTTTAACTTATTTGTAGGTGCACCAACCACCGAGGTTATTCGGCAGCGGCACTTAGGTATACTAACTACTAATAATGTTTAGATCTTTTATAGTAAATCAGTAATTTTTAAAAAGTAAAATCAGTTTGGCAATGTGATTGCTTCTAAATATTCTAAATGATCAATTTTCGAAATAAATCTAAAAATACAAACCCTACGCTACCTACTTTAGGAATCGTCTAATTTCCCCAATTTCCTTCTATTCCTATATAATGAGAATTTCCATTTCCTTAAAAACTGCGTTAAATTTCCACTGAATTTCCTTCCATTTTTTTTTCGTTCCCATATTTCCTATAAATTGATACGATTTTACCTACAAAAGTTGCTACCTTTTCCGTAAAATTGAATTGTTTCACATTTTTCTCTAAGAATTCCATTAAAATTTCATATTACTTTTCTTATATTTTCCATACTATTTCCACCAAGACTTCTTTACATTTTTTTTCCTGCAGTTCGTTTAATTTCGCTATTTCCTCATATTTCCTTTGCAAAGTGTACAATTTGCTCAAAAGCTTCCGTCACAGTTTAAACGTTGCCACACTTCTTTGCTTCCGCCGACTTAAATGTCCACTTCTTTTATGTGTATAATAAGTAACAAAATTACGTTTAAATTGCCATTTGTTCACCTTATATTTGCCTAGGTATTTCTATACTTTTCTCTAAACGGTTGAATAATTTCGTCCATTTTAATATGCCAGAGTATATGAGTTTCCTGAAAGGGTTACTTCATTGCTTAAAATCTGTACATTTACCATAGTTTTGGCGAAATTGCTTTCTTAAATTTCCCCAACCTATAATTAACAGAATTTCGTTAAACAATACGATTACGATTAATGTACGCATGCGCAGACTACTCAATGCCAACTCTTATTTATGGAGATATTTCTTTGATGCAATGCTTTTAGTAAACGCAAACATATCGCATATTGTAAAAATCAAGTGTGCGCATGCGCAGATCGCCCAATGACAACTTGGGATTATTATAGACACGTTTCTTTGACATTTTAACCATAAGTGCTTGTAGCATAGCTGTGGCCTTTTGGGAAATACTGATCAATGCATGGAAAATGCGATAAATCATCGTTAAAAGTAGGAAAAATGAGGTCTCTCCAAACCTTCAAGAAAAGCCCTGCTCTGACCAAGACCTTTAAAGATTCTAAGGCACATGGTAACGCTATTACTAATACTGGTGTTTTTACTGCATTGTACGAATTGACTGACAAGGAGTGCACGTCCTTGAACAAATTGACGTATAAATGCTACCTTAGGTGTTAGCCACCCCTTCCTCCTTTTGAGGCTGCAGCACAGCAACATTCTTTAAGAGTTTACTTTAAAGCACAACAATTTGGAGAATTTTTGAAGGTGCGATATTTTAGTTCTGATGTCTGATTGAACTCAAATGCACTTGGGTATTCAATTTTATTGCTTTTTGTAAAATTATATGCTAACTTTAAACCTGATTTTGTTCTATTTTCCAAAAATTACTGATTTCCCTAATATTTCAACACTATTTTGCATGAAAACCATACGACATACAAAAAAATATTAAGAGACATAAATTTTAGATCATTTTCTCCTCTTTATTTTAGAATAGAACCACTTCTTGCGTAAATAGCTTGCGTTGCTTTGCTTTTTTGTTGATTTCTCATAAATTTTTTGTTGGACAGACAGATTCGTGTTCATCACACCAAAAAAACATATAAATAAACCACTAGGAAGAACACCAGAACTTTCCACCTTCTATGACCGTTTGACTGCATTATTGGGGAATGGAGAACTTTTTAAAATTCATTTAAATGGAAATGTTATATTAAAATCGTCGATATGTCTTTGAAATTGATTTAGGTAGGTACACATTTGAAGCGTAATTTCGTGTACTATTTATCATTGTAAAGAAAATTTTGATTGAGTTTTTAATGTAGCGAGGTGAAGTGGCGCAGCTATGTGCTCGTTGTAACTTGTAAGTTAAACAGCGCCAGAAATATTTCATGAAACTAATTCCGTGCACTTTACCATTGCAGGCAAAAGCAAAGAAATCATCAAGAAGTTTTAACGCAGCGAGGCGATGGGGCACAGCAATCAAAACCGAAACTATGTTCTCGTTTTGAGTAAAATGATGCCATCAGTATCTAAAAATTCGGCGAAAATAATCCTTTCAGTCAGAGCAATACCAATTGGGACGATTGCTCTAAACCTTAGCGGTGCTCTGAATCGTAGTATATATTCTATTATAAAGTTACACGTAACGTGAAGCCATAGCGAATCAGACCACAACTGCTCTAAATAATGCTACAGAATGCCAATACGCCACCGGGCCATGAAAGAGTTTTAACATCGAGGATCGACCCTCCTAACTGACAAATTCCATAATTCTTTAGCGTCTTAGTTGATAACTCTTTTGTCCTTTCAGAGTTGTATGAGAATTTTTTGTGTAGTTAATGTGATTCAATTTTGGAGATACTTTAATATGGTATTTTATTTCTTTTTGTACCTAAATTGATTAGTACTGTTATTACTGCCCTCGTATCTTCTCAATTTCATAGGGGGAGGGTTAAGAAAGATATTGAGTGGCGCTCAGCCCCTTTGGTAAGTGCAATGAAGGACGAAGTTCATATGCCCAGAACGAACTATCGCTGTGGAAGATCTTGAGCTTTTATTTAATTTTCCAACCCTGAGCTAGTTGGTCGTTTATGTGGTGGATTTGAGGTAACGCAACGCCAACTCTTCCTACCGTTATAGATGCTCTCGTGTTTAGTTTAAACGCCATCAATTTTTAAATATTTTGGGAACATAGTCTTTTGAAGTTTTTATCGTTGTAAAGAAAGCCAAAGAAACCCTCAAAAGCTACATTCCATTGAATTGATTTTAGAGGCATAAGTGAATAAGTCCTTAATGTTCGGATTGTAAGCAGTTATAGATTTGAGGCATAAAATTGAGACTACCAACTAAGACGTGAGAGGAGATGAGACGCTTCAAGTATAATAAGTATACGTATATTTACTTGTATTACTTCATCAACCTATTTCTATACTACATCGCGGGAAAAAGAAGGGTGCGAAAGAGTAAGAAAGAGCAAAAAGTACTCACTTCTGTCGGTACTCACCAATTTCAGAGTTTTTCTTTTTAAAACAATAAATAAATAAAACAGATATAGCAAATGGGCTCCCAATTAGACTCAACTTTTGGCATTGCGTATTATATGGCTAAAGCTATGTCAAAAGGGCTTTTGGCCTACATGGCCAATTCACGAACTCCGATCTAAAAATTTGATAAAGAATTTAGAATCCACCTGCAAATTTTCGTTGTAATCGGTTTACTCGTTTTCCAGATATCGTGCTAAAAGCCGGGCAGACACCCCAAAATTTTAAACTCGCTAAGCGCTCGTTAATAACAGCAAAAGAATAAAACTGGTTTTCCTTACATTTTCCTTGAGATTTCCTCCAAATTTTCCCCACATTTTTCTTCAGAAAGTTATTCCCCCACGTTTTCCATATTTCTTGATCGTAACTATAAAAACCCTCTAAAGACCTTCATTCATTGCTAAAAAATTGTCACACTTTCCTTAGTTTCCGCAAAGTTGCATAAAACTTGCCACAATTTCTATATGAAATAAATAAACGAATTACTTTAAAAGTTACCATTTATTTTCGTTTTGCTTACTACCAAATTTTCTTTATAATTTTCTTCAAAATTTTGTATAAGGGTGTCATGTTCTGCATAGTTCCTATGCTTAAAAATTGTCCGACCTTGCGTTTTTTTATGAAATAATTAAAAGGATAACAATAATAATTGCCTTTTATTTTCCTTGTCACTATCACCTTATATTTTTTTCCTGAGCGTTAAACTTTAGGAAACCTTATGGCTTCGCTTAAAAATTACTTTTATTCTCCTTATATTTTACTTATTCTATATTTTTCTCTTTAGAAATTTGTCTAATTTTGTTCACATCTGGATATTACCTATGTATGCCTAACATAAAACTTGCTAAAAGGCATTGTTTAAAAATTGCCATACTTTCCTTAGCTTCAGCAAAATTACAATATCTTCAATTTACCCAATTTCCATCTGAAATAAGTACTTCGAGGGTTCCTTACATTTTAAATTCCGTTTTAAAATTATCACCTTTGATGGAAATTCCCATTGCGGGACGTGTATATATAGAGAGGAAAAGACAACGATTTGAAATTTAATAAATTATAAAAATTTAAGTTAAAACGTATCTTTTTAGCTTATGAATTTAAGTGAAATATTTTGCTGCAGCTGCACAATTTATCTCTTTGAGCATTTTATATTCTACATTCGAGATAACTTAGGAATATAAAATTCCCATTTATTTACTGCAATTTAAGCTCATAAATTTAAATTAGAGATTGTAGTATCATCTTTAATTTAAACACTCAAGTTAGGTACAGTTAACTGCCTGGAATTTATCATTTCCTTTCACTGCTGGTAGAGGGGCAGCTACCTTTACGCTGCGATAGTGGGGTAGAACAGGAATCTGTCACAGACCGGTTTGTGTGGAGCTTTAATAGCTGTTTGTTTGTGACCGTGGTGGGTGGTGAATGTTTGTCATCCTTCTTTGTGGGGTAATTATCAGGTTTGTTTAACAATTTTAGTTATTTTTCGCTCATTTCAGTTGAGCAAAGATGCCAGGAACAATATTGGAAAATTTAAGTGGTCGCAAGTTAAGTATTCTAGTGGCAATTTTGCTAATTTGCCAAATTACGTGTTTTCTAATTGGAGGCCTTGTCGCACCGTCGCCGGCCGGTTCGCAAAGCATCCTCACGACCGTTTGCTACGACGATCAGCCGAATTTATTCACCGATGACGGCCGCTGGTTCACCTCAAAATGCAAGTCGATCAATCTAGATGACAAGCACGCCGGTTTGAACGCCTCCAATTACGTTTTCATGGGCAAAATGCCGCTGTACAACATGGACTTTTCGCGCTGGCACCAGAATTTGGTCGGAGTCCTGCAGGTGGAAATGGAGCATGGGAAGGAGACGACGACGACGGACGTTATCGATTTGACTTTGGATGTGAAGTTGGGGTACAGAAACAAGGAGGATCCAGATGACAAGTGGACTTATCACAGCAGCTCCGAGGAGAAGAGAATTGTTGAGTGCTCATCTCCTAACAAAGAGGACAAGTATTCCTATTCTTGCTCGACTGTGCAACTCTTCGAGCTTGGCTCACTCCATCACGACTACTACTTGCTTAACTTTCGAATTCCAGTCGACGATAAGGGCACCAACGCGAAAGTGGGCTTTATTTCTGATATCTACCTCATTATAATCCACATGAATGTTGGATTTACAAAGGTATGGCTCTCACTGAAAACCGTATTCTTTCCAATTTTAATTATGATCATGGCGTGGTTTTGGAACCGGGTGCATTTATTACAGCGCACCCCTGCTCTGTTGGAGTATCTGCTGATGGTTGTCGGCGGTACTTTGGCAATTTTAGATGCGCCTCTTGAATTTTTAACTCTGTACTTCGATATACCATTCATGCTGCTACTCAGCGATATTCGCCAGGGCGTTTTTTACGCCGCTTTGTTATCATTTTGGATTATTTTCGCCGGTGAGCACATGCTGATACAGGACGGCGCCCACAAAAACACGCTTAAAACATACTGGATGCACCTAAGCGGAATTTTAGTGGGATGCTTATCGCTGCTCATTTTCGATTTGTGCGAGCGCGGCGTACACCTCCACAACCCTTTTTACTCCATCTGGGTAACACCGATCGGAACAAATTTGGCTCTATCCTTTATAATACTCGCGGGAATTTCGGCCGGCATCTACTTCATATTTCTGTGCTACATGATTTGGATGGCGTACCGAAATATAAGCATTAAAAGATCAGTGTTACCCACGATGTCAACGGCTCGCAGATTGCACTATGAGGGCATCATTTATCGCTTTAATTTTCTCATGCTGGTTACTATCATTTGCGCGGCCGTTACCATAATTTCGTTTATTTTGAGCCAAATCGCCGAGGGGCAAAATAAATGGGACGAAAACGTGGAGTTGGAGGTGTCTTCCGCACTTTTTACTGGCGTTTATGGCATGTGGAACATTTACACATTTGCGATGCTCATTTTGTACGCCCCCAGTCATAAGCAGTGGCCTACCGATAGTATTTGTGGCGATAATGGGGAGGAGGTCGAATTTAGTCGATTGCCCACCGATCCCAGCCCTAATGAAATATCTTCACTAACGACCTTTGCCAGTAAAGCTTCCATTGATTGAGTATTTGTTTTTTATACTTATTTTTTGTACTTAGCTGTAGTGTGATCTGAAATTACTCAGGCAGGTACTATTTTATATGACTGATATTTATCGAATTTAGTATTATGTTTATTAGTATTAGTATTTGTATTAACAATTCTTCAGTATTATAAATGTTGTGATTTTTAATGTTAAATGTGCAGCTTTTTTTGTATGGACAATGTATTACAAGTTTTACATATTATGATAATAAAAGTTTGATTCTCTTTCCACGTGGTACCTAGCTACATTTTGATTTTAGTTTTTTCTTTTTTAATTGAAGACGTACCTTTTGTAGGCGGCATTTCTCCTAGCCAAAATAATCCATTTAAAATGGTTAATTGAAAAACAGATTAAACAAATTAATGTTACTTCTCATTAACTGTGGTGGATAGGACATTCCTACTACGCCACTGATTTCTACTTAAAAATGAGCAAAACGTTTTCCTTAATTTTTATATTTGTGTAATAATGAAGCACCATTCGTGTTTTAAGTACTCTAATATTCGCGAATTTAACAGTCAAAGAAAATGCAATTTTGCTAAGCATTTCACCTCGAACTAAAATAATAGCATTTTTTCTTGTCAGCGACCGGGGTTGTGCAAGAGAAAATAACACTTTGCGTGATCGTTTACGAGACGTATTGTTTTAACTAAGATCCCCACTATACTGCACGTGGGGGAAAGGTGTCAAAATGTGTTCAGATTTTCCACTTTTACCACTAGGTACCTACTCGCATTTAGAATCTTAAACTTATTGATAAAAATTGGTGAGTTTTTCTATGATAACTATAATTAATAACAAACAAATTTTATTCTTTGTTAATTAGAGGTGAATTTAGCCGAGCATTGAGCACTCCCTCTACCGCCTTAATTTTATTATTCTATGAATGAGAAGCAAATTCTCAAGTTGCTATCTGATTCTCCTAAAGTTCTCCCCCCCCCCCTTCATGGCGTCTTTCTTAAATTTGTCTCAAGTTGCTTTCGTTCTTCTCAAGCTTTAAAATATCTACTAAATTTTCATGAAATTCCAGCACCTTTTTATGTTTCTTTCAAGTCTTATTTTCAAATTCTTCTTAAGTTACGTTTATCCCCAGCTTCACAAATTTGTCCTCAAGTTTCCATAAATTGCTTACCGATGTTGTCTTCTTTCCAATTTTTTTCTCATACTCTACTTCTCCTCATACTCGTATAATTTTCACGTTCACTTCTCAATTTCGTCTTCTTATCTTCATCGCAAGTTTTCCACATTACCTAGGTACTCCTCTACCTGCCATAAAAGTTCCTTCTAAGTTCGTCGTCTTCCTAGTTAGTATCATCCTTATCAAATTCCCCTTCAGTTTCTTTTTAAACCAGGTTCATCCCAATCTTCTTAAATTTTACCTCGATCTCGCATAAAATTTCCGTCTTTGTCCCCTCCACCTTACTTTAGTTTACTGTTACTGAAATTACCATCAAAATCAGTCGATTTTTGGTAAAAAAGGAACGTTATACATTGCCTTTTTTTGAGGCCCGAAAAAAAAATTGTCTCAGATCGACACGGAAAACAATTTTCTTATAGAATGTGGCCTGTGGAATCCATAATTTCAAACAGTTCCAAGATTGGGCTACTAGTTCAAAAGTTACAGCCCTTTGAATTTTTTTTCGAAATTGCTCTCTAATCTATAACTTTTGATTGAGAGGTCTAATCGAAAAAGTACGAATTGTTTTAGATTCTACGCACCAAAATTAGTAAGAAAAAGTGTTTTCCCGAGAAATTTTGGTGTAGTCGATGTTTGGTAAAAAAGGAAGGTTATACACTGCCTTTTTTTGAGGCCCGCAAAAAAAATTGTCTCAGATCGACCCGGAAAAAAATTTTCTTATAGAATGTGGCCTGTAGAATCCATAATTTCAAACAGTTCCAAGATTGGGCTACTAGTTCAAAAGTTACAGCCCTTTGAATTTTCTTTCGAAATTGGTTTCTCGTCTATAACTTTTTATTGAGAAGTCTGATCGAAAAAGTACGAATTGATTTGGATTCTACGCACCCAAATTAATAAGAAAAAGTGTTTTCCCGAGAAATTTTGGTGTAGTCGATTTTTGGTAAAAAAAGGAAGGTTAATNTTTTCCGAGAAATTTTGGTGTAGTCGATTTTTGGTAAAAGAGGAAGGTTATACACTGCCTTTTTTTGAGGCTTGCAAAAAAAATTGTCTCAGATCGACCCGGAAAAAAAATTTTCTTATAGAATGTGGCCTGTAGAATACATAATTTCAAACAGTTCCAAGATTGGGCTACTAGTTCAAAGTTACAGCCCTTTGAATTTTTTTTCGAAATTGGTTTCTAGTCTATAACTTTTGTTTTGTATTCGAATACTAAATAATATTTGTGAAAGTATTTGAGTTACTGCTTCCATAAAAGTATTTAATTACAAAGGATTTCAATATTAAAAAGTATTTACAAAATCGAATACTGCTCAGCTCTGAATATGTAGTTTTATAGGTTTGGCAAAAAGGGGTAGTTTTCACCCCTAAAAAATGAAGAGCGCCCATCGGCATAATATAGATTTTGAAGTGTAGGGTAAATTTAACCTAATCCCAAATTTTCATGCGAATTTTGAAAAAATTGCCAGGTTTTACACTACTTTAAGTTTCATTTCCTGGACTAATAGCTGATCAAAGTTACCCAAAGTTTCTCGACACGTAAGAAAATTAACGAAAAGCGAAGGTTTTGCTTCATTTGTAAGAAATGCCTCCGCTTTCACACCAAAAACCTTTAGGTACGTTGTACATACAATGTACGAGTAGATGGGGTTGTTTAATTAATTAAAACGGCTAAACTGATTTGAACCAAATTTGGTACACATATTGTTATACATAAAAGGAAGAGCTAGGCAGAAGTGTGTCAATAGTATATTATATACCATGGGACTAAAGTGTGTTTTAATCCCGAGGGTGCAAATTGTTGCCCGAAACGTAATTGAGGGCAACAAGCACCCGAGGGATGAGGACGTACTTTAGTCCTGTGGTATATACGCTATTTTTTGTACTCCGGAAATCAGCTACGGCGATTTCAATGTTAAAGTGCAAATTTGAAAGAAAAAATCTGATTGATAGTAGGATTAATATATCCTGGTAATGTCAAATTGTGACGGTATAACGATAAATGTCAGTTTGATTTAAAGATTCTAGTTTAAAACTACGGCGTACAAATGATCTTTTAAAACTCTGAAGAATAAGCTATAAGGATACATACCTACTGCCTTCCAAATTCAAAAAGATATATGGAAAATGGTACATATAAAAAGTGTAAAATATGGTGCAAGAATAAATATGTACAATACAGGTAACCATTAATCATTAAATTGTGTGTACTGTCACTTTTTGTCCCGCGTCGCGTTTTTCTCCCTCCGGGGGAAAAAATTGCACTTTAGTCCCTTAAATGAATGACAAAACACGTTGATTTAGTCCACGGAGTACAAAAAATAACAAAAAACTGTGTTCGTAGACGATGTAGAATTCGTCCGTTTCTCTCAATTTCGTTCATTCCAGCAGTAAAAGACACTTGAAACTGTTTTAAGGCATCCCTGCTTTTATCAAAACTCCCCGGAAGATTTTTTGAAACTTTCTTGTCTCTTGGCACTCTTTTCTTGAATCTATGCAGATAATCTTTAAAAAACACCCTTCCAGTTCATTCCTTAACATTTTCTTGAGATTCTCGTCAAACGGGCTTGAAACCCCCTAATACCTTCTTTGATCATTTTTAAAGCTCTCTTGTTTTCCGAATATTATTTGTCGAAACCGATGTGCAAGACCCCGTTTTTCGTGTCGTAAGAGGTAACTAAACAACTGCAGGTGTGCCACAACATTGAGGTGAATGATACTTAGGGGAATGTAAGAGACGTTTGTTATAGCCTTTTGACATCTGTTTGCCGACGTCGTATGCAGGTGATAGGGGTGAAAATTGTTCTTTACTACCACTTTTGTTTTTAATTCTTGGGTGATGCTGATTTTTCGAAATTATTTTGAATGCAGAGTACTTCCCTTGTTGATCTGGTTCGTTTTCCCTACTGTCTAGTTTTGTCGAGGGATTTTGAGTAAATTATTTACATATCTCATTTTCGGCACACAATCATTTTTATAGTATAATACTATTTTTAGACAAACACGTTTTTGTTTATAGCATGTTATTGGTAATTAAATGTGTATTATTACCATTATGAAGGGTATTTCGCCTATTAATTATCGATATAACAATTAATTAGTCATAATATCTTCATTATAAATAACGTTAGCGTTATTAATCGGAAAATAATCAAATGTTGAACCACTTTTGACAAGTTCAGTGTTCGGAAAAAGCTGAAAATATGAACTGATTTTAATTATTAAGCTTTCACCTTTAGGTCGAGGGAAAGAAGGCTGAAAACGAATTTACGTACCATCGAATAGTTCAACAAGTTCAAAAAGTAATCCTAGACGATTTACAAAAAGCGCATTTCCACATTAACAGTCTGAAAAAATTAGTTACTTCAGCCAAGTTTGTTTTCAGCATTTAACAAAAAAATCCGCCCACAAGAAGGGAGCACTGCGCATGACAACCTATTCTTTGACGGACAGACGGCCGGACAAAGTGACCACAATAGTGCGTTTTTTTAAATTTTTGTGGAAATGCGCTAAAAATGGGCTCTAAGATCGTAGTAAATATCGTTTTTGGGTTCCTATTTGTTGTTACATTTTTTGAATTTTGAAAAGGGCCCTTGAGAAACTCAAAATCTTCTGGCTCGGAAGCCTTCTGGATTTCGATAAATTCGAAGCAGTCACTTACCTTGTATTTAACGAGTTATATATTTTTTTTAATTTGGAAAGTGTGCGGGTGCTAGTCGAAGAAGTCGGGGCGTGGATAACGTTCTCCCAAAGATTAAAAAAAAAATGTTTGCCGATTTGTGGATCAAAAATGATTTTAATAGCTACGCAACTTATCTTTCCAGTTCATTTAGGCAATTAAACGTAATTTCTATCAACTATGATCCAATTAACAAGCGCACATGAATTTCTTTGAACCGTTGCTTGAATACTTGATTGCGACGTAACGTCACCAATTTATCTATTAAGACGAGTTGCGTCATGCGATAATTACAATTTTTAAAGTCAAATAAAAAATTAGAAAATATAAACAATTTTATTAGATAGGAAAGCTATATGATAGCTATTTGTACGAAAAGTATGAATTTACACTAAAAGTAATTGCAATAAATATAAAAAATACATAATAATACTTGGATTTCTTTGTACAGTTTATCACGCGTCGCTCACTGAACCGGCGGATGTGGGACTGTCCAGTGTGCTCGAAGAATTGCCTATGCTCTCGCACGCCTCCAAGAATAAATCGGGGTTGACCATTTCCATTACGCGCCATGCCAAGGATTTACCTAGAATTAAAGCGACATTTTGAGATTGGGCCAGGTCTGTGCAATATTGCTAGTGCGCGTTATTGTTATCAAATGCGATTTGTAATTGCTTGTGTAACTAAAGTGGGCACTCAAGGTTAATGTCAATGTTACTAACGAGATTAATTTTTAATGGACTTACCGGTAGGTTGGATAGTCCCTTTTAAGGCCGTGGACTCTTCGCAGTAGTGGAGGGCGGCTTTGCGCAGATTTTCGCAGCCATACTGATCGGCTAATAGTAGAATGTTTGGAACTGTGTTCGGGGTCATGCTGTCCAAAAGGGTCCTCTCGCACAGTGCGGTTAGTCCTGGCAAATGGAACCTGGTGGATAGTGGCAGTAGTTTATTTGCATGCGCGTCTGTGTTGTCCACTTTGTCGGTGTAGATGTATCTCAGCAGTTCCTTTACAATGCAATAGTCGAGGACGGACAGATCCAGTTTGTACCTGATGTTCTGCAATGGGATGAATTAGTTTGGTATCATCTCTCATTCGAGTTGTACTTACTTCGTTCTTTGGATCTTTGTACTTCTGAAGCATCGCGCCTAGTTTGGAACTGCGAGCCCTGATCAGCACGCTGTTCACTTTGAAAAGCTCCTGATTTTGTTCTGATGCACATTCGACAATTGTGTCAGCGTACTGCTCAGATTCCAACGTCAAAATCCGAGCGAGATCTTGCGACAGGCTGTGTTTTTCTTCCTCGCTTTGTATTATTTGTACTTTAACCATTATTCTCAAGTCTTTCTCTGAAAGGATAATAGCTGAAGGCTGAACGGGCAGGGGGCGTTGCGAAACTTACCACTGTCTATGTGTCGCTCGTTGATTCCAAGCGTTTTGTACCCAATTGAGACTAAATTGTGAGTATTTTCTAAGTTCAAAACCAAATTGGAGATGTCACAAAGCTCCCAGTAGCGAATGCTGGCATCCCAAATGCCAAACTGGTACCTAATCCTAGCCTGACCTTTCTCTTCAGTTTCGCACCCGGTCAAATTCAAGCACAACACCAAAGGATTTGGTATTTTTTTACCGTTCGAGCCTGCAATATTTAAAAAGTGAGCAAACGCGATCGCACCACCCACTTCCTTTTACCTTTCCAAAATCGAACCGCCACATTCCAGTAGGTGCTCATCCCGTTGACCGAGCATCGGAACTCGGGACTGTCCAGGTAATCCTTCTTCGCGACGATCTTTTTAAAATTACGAATCCTCCACACCTTTCGAAAAACGACCTCGGACGCGACCGGAACCTCCAAGTCCTCTGATACGCTTCCGACCTCGACGTCGACCAGCTCCTGCGCCTGCTTCGATTTCTTCGCAGTTCTTGGCATTTTGTTCGCCAAAACTGTAAAGACGCCCATTTATGGGGAACTGAAAGAGGAAAATAATTTCTTACTTGCGTCCCGATTATGTAAATATGCAGGTGTATTTATAGCGGGTATAAATTTAGAGATGGCCAACTTTTCGCTGCACCAAGCGAACTGATCGAAAACTATCGTGTCTATCTGAATGTGGCCTACTTGAGAATTGAAGAGTTCGTAGATTATTTGTATAATTATTTTTTTTAATGGCGCAGTAGGTCCTTGTAATTAAGTCGCAGTTGGACCGTCTAAACTTCATCTGCGTTCTTCGCGCAATTAAAGACGTTTTGGGAATAGGTGGAAATTCGTCGAAATTCGCACTTTGTTCGCAGTTGCACAAATAGCCTTATCTTATCATACCACTTCGCCAACACAGACGGAGTGTCAACTGAACTTGGGGGAAAAAAAGTTGCACCTTGCCCTTCTCTGTAGCCGTTTTGTACCAGGAAATCGTTGAACGCCTCGAGGCGCTGGCATAAATTAATTTTGAATGTAAACAGTTCTGGCATTGCAAACGATCGCCAGCTACCTTGAATTGTTACAAAGTTCAATTTGCGCACTACGTTTTTTACATGGAACTAGAATTTGGACATTCCCTTCGGGGGCATATTCTCTTCCTCGAATGTTCCGTGATATAAGTTAGCGCATTTGTTTAAGAATTGAAACAAAATGTGCTTTTGCTTGCGTGCCCAGTAAAACTTTTCAAAATGGGGAGAGGGGGGGGGGGGTGAGCACACGTTCTACCCTTCATGGTATTATAATAAACGGCGAGATAAAAGGTCTACACAAACTCTAACTTTCCAACGCGACTTCTTTTCGAGATGTGATGAGTCTGGTTCAGTAAGACTATGGTCAAGGGACTAACTGATTAATTTTGTGTCATTTGGATTTTCTGTCCGTCCGTCTGTGTACATGATAACTAGCGAACGGTTTGGAATTTTCAAATTCTGTTTTCAGTAATAGGTAAACAATGGGCAAGGGACTAACAGATTAAATTTTGGTCATTTGGACTTTCTGTCCGTCGGTCTATGTACCCCTACTCCCTAACGGTTTCGAATTTTGAAATTCTTTCAGTAATAGGTAAACAATGGCAAAGCGACTAATTGACTCAATTCTGGTCAATACTAGTCAATTGGATTTTCTGTCCGTCCGTCTGTGTACATAATAACTCGCGAAAGGTTACGAATTTTTCAATTCTGTCTTCTGTAATAGATAGACAATGGTCATGGAACTAACTGATTAAATTGTGGTTATTCGGATTTTCTGTCGGTCCGTCTGAGTTTGTCGCTCGTCTATATTTATTCAATTTGAGGAATGTTTGCAATAAATTTGGAAGAATCTCCGAATATCTGCAAAATCTTTCATGAATCCAGGTTTTTGCACCTGAGGCTACTTGAACAACTCGGACCACTATATTCCTAAAAACGATGCTGTTTCCGAACTGAAATTCGAAATTCATACAGAATAACTGCAAAAGCGCTCATCAATTTTTAAAAATCTTCCAGAGATCATTCCAAAAATTTAAAAAAATTCGGAATGTTAAGAGATAAAGAATCTCGTAAAGAATTTAAGAATCTCTTATGTGAACGTGAATAAAATCTATATCTGGCCGATTGTAGAATCTCTGATGGACCTCTCTAGCACCTATCGACAAGCTATAATGAATGCTCGAAGAATATTTCGAAAGATTTTGTACATAATATTTTACAGAAGTTTTGAACCGCATCTGAAGATTGTATAGGATAAAATATGAAAAAAAAATTTTTTAAACATACTCTGAAGAATTCTACAAAAATTTCTGAAGTCGCACAAACTTTGAGAGTCTTAACCGATTCTTTATACACAATTTCTGAAGAATATCCTGTTAGAAGATTGCCTGAAAGACACCTACCTCTGACGATACTCCTTAATCCCTGAAAAGTTTCTAAAGAATACTTCTATGTAAAGTAAGAGTCCTCAGAAAATGTTCAGTAAGCGTCGCAGAAGATTCTTTCGAGTCCTTAAAGAATATATAAAAATGTTTCTAGTATCTTTAGAGAATCTCTAAAAATTGCTCAGAACAAGAACTTTAAGTAACGTGAAGAACATCAAAAGAATTTTTCAATAATCTTGATCCTTGGAGGAAGCTCTGAAGATTCCTTACAATGATTAATACACATTTAATAGAGAAGAATCTCGAAAATTTTTAAAACTTATTTAGAGATCTATTCTTCCAGCAACTATCCCAATAATTGTATAAAGAAGAATGCCTTAGGGATCTCTGCACGGCCTCTGGCGAAACCTTGGACAAGCTTTATAAGAATATAATTTGCTTAGAACCAGTACAAATTTTGGAAATCATTTGAAGATCTTTCAGGAATCTCTAAAATACGAACCGCCCTGAAAACGATCATGAACAACCAGTCTGCATCGGCTCAGTGAGGGACCAAATGGTCAGATTGACATTTCACGGCAGAGTGAAATAAGAAATCTTAAAAAATGACCCACATGAAGATGTTTATATCAGTGGATGGGGAAGCAACATTCGAAATTCCTAAATGACGCAATTTCAATGGCTCTTTTTGGTTGATCCGAGCAAGAAAGCTTCCAATTTGCTTTAAAAATGTTGAATTGAATAAGGTGTCATTCGACACTCAACCCGCATTAGTAATTTAGTAAGCAGCCTCCCATTTTGTACTGAAAGTGAAATTATTGACGTCAAATACCTAGAATTTCAATCAGATGATTTCTGTTGACATCATTTCTGGCTAAACGGTGGTTTAATCGAAATTTCAGGACTTTCAGGATTTGAAATACCTCTCGCTTTGTTCCCAGATGTTTATCGCTATAATTCTTTGCATTGCTAATCTAATCTATGACAATAATGGCGCGAGGTATGTACCTATGACTTGTTTTTTTACCGTGAGCTAATTTGTTTATACGCACGCAAGCCGATTTGTATGAGCAAACCGCAAACACTTTCTTTGTTTATCAAACGCCAAAAGGACTTCGATAAGCCAATTTGGGGCGTACCAAACCAAAGGAATCGGATGTATGACAAAACCCATGATTCACTGATACCAAAGCAATTTGCTGACGTTCCGAAGAAGTCGGGCAATTGAATTACAACATCCATCGTTCGTCAGCTGGAGGCGATAATCTCGATTATCAATTAAGGAAACGGACATCGACTTTTAATTAAATTATGGAGGACAAACAACGTTTGTAATTAGGTTTCAAAATGGCCAAGCGAACCAAAACAAAGGTTTCAATTATAAACAAAACAATTCCATTTCTAGCAATTACTTACGGAGTAAACTGTTTTAATTAGCTGGAACGATTAAGTCGAATACATGTGACAATAATTTAAATATTATTCGAGTTTTTAATGTTGTACTTTGTTCTGCGCGAAAAGAGCATGATTGCCACTTGAGTAAATGGGGCATATGTTTTTAATAACACTTTCGCATTTCGCAATTTGTTGTAATTTGCATAAGCGGATCCTTTCTATTGCTATTAATGGCTTACCTCAAGCTCACCACCTAACAAAAATCACCACACGCAAAAATGGCACAATGTCTAGAAAAAATCGTATTACTACACTTGCGAGCTTACTATAAATGCGGGAGAGGAAGTAGAAATATTTAAATTTGCGGGATCCCTTCCTCTCGCTACGTCATGGTATATACAGTCTTCCCATTCGTGCTCCACGTGCCGTCCTTGTAGAGTAAAGTCATATGGTGTTGTCTGAAAAATTACAAGATAACCAGACTGTATGTCGGAAAGATTTGTTGTGCGTTTTAGCATTGCGGATCATATTCAATATTTTGTTTGTCGACCGAGGACGTTTACCTATGGCGGGTAGCACCGTTTTGCACAAACTCCGCTGACGCTGACTGAAGTATTTTAGGTGCTTGCATGTTACAAATATGTGCCGGTTGTAGAATGTAGACTGTATTGTTAAAATTTTACAAATTCTTCATTTGGTAAGGTTCAAGGTTATAGCCTTTTCACTTTTAAAGATGTTAACGGTACTTAATTCTTTCGCGATTATGATGTGTATTTTCCATGAAGGTCACTGAAAGAACACTATCCAACCGCTGTAGAAAGAGAAACATTATAATTTTGTGCAATACTGATGATTCCGAAGATTATTTATTCTCTCGAATTTCTCTAAGGATATTGGTTTCCGGGCAGATCAGTGGGATGAAGCAATTTGCCGCCTAGAAGTCATTGTTTATTCTGAATAAAGAATGCTAGAAGCTTTGCCACCCTTTTCCCAACAGTTGATGACAGAATGGGGTTTTTACGAAAGTTTCCGCAAAACTTTACTTTCCATAAGGAAATGGCTTTTCGCTTAGTACGGAAAATCTAGCTCCGTTGTGTAAAGATAGATTTTCCTGAAAGGTATTCCATACCTCCCAAACCCCCAGGCGGTGTTGAGAACACTCCCAAGTATATACGGGGGTCATACGCAAATTGAAAGGAACATTGAATCTTTCCTGAGATGGATTTTGTCGGAGGGCAGACCATACCCCCCGGTGTTACCCCTCAAACCGTTTGTCTCGCACCAGTAACTGCATTTTTCGGCAAGACGCCAGCAAACTTAGCACCGGGGGGTCTGGAGGGGGGGGGGAGATGGAAAACGAAGATCATACGCTAATTGAAAGGAAAATGCATTTTCCCTAGGATGAATTTTCTGGGGGCATGTCATACTCTTGCAGACCCCCCGGTATTACATTCCGCCCCTCATTACATTTTACTGCAAGACGCCAGCGAACTTAACACCGGGACAGAAGTCTAGGGGTATTCTGGGAATACCGCCCACTGTATACGAAGATCATACTTACTCTAATTGAAAGTGACGTTGAATCTTTCCTAGGACGGATTTTTTGAGAGGTCTTCTACACCCCCCACACTCACGGTGCTAAGTTCGCTGGCGTCTTGCCGTAAAATGTAATGAGGGGGGGATTGTATGACCGGGGGGTCTGCAGGGGTACCCTCTGAAAAGTCCGTCCTAGGAAAAATTCATGTTCCTTTCAATTAAGCGTATGATCTTCGTATACTCCACAGTGTCACATTCCACCCTTATTACATTTTCCTGCAAGACGCCAGTGGTATTTTAGAGGGGTCCATAGGCATACCCCCCACTATATACAAAGATCATATACTAATTGAACACAACATTGAATCGTTCCTGAGATAGGTGTTCCTGACGGGTATTCCATACCCCCAGACTCCACGGTGTTACATTTCCCCCAAAAACCACTTATCTCACACACACTCCAGTGATCTTATCACCGGAGGGGGGTCTGGTTTGCGTGGAATGCCCTCCCCCAGGTATACACGGTGTCCATTTTTCGAGTGCCACTATGGGGATCTCACTTATCTTAAGAGATAGAAAGTTGGTTAAATTGGGGCAAAGTTGCAAATTTCCATGCTGAATAAAAATCTGAAACGAAATTTGAAATATCTTCAATAGTTTAAAAGATATCGCAAAAAAACGAAAATTTCTGATTTTTGTTTTTAATTTTTTTTGGATAAACTAATTGTAGTAGACATTTCTAATTGACACATTATTCGGACACTTTTTAATGGAGATTTCAAATATGGCATCTTGTTTTTAATTACTTTCAAGATGACGGAGAAACACGTGGCAACTTTAGTTTTTCTTATGGGCGCCATATTGAATTTTGACATTTTGGGTCTTTTTTCTCTTTACAACGATACCTATATCACACATGGTGGTTCAGTATCACATTTTTTCTAAAAATACAATTTTTAATTTTTTGAGAAGAGTGCTTTGGAAAAACAAAACGTTCTTTTATTGTAAACAAAAGTTTGACAGTTTGATCCATCTGTCTGGTTGCAGCATTGTCAGAGAAGCACTCTTCTCAAAAAATTAAAAATTGTGTTTTTAGGAAAAATATGATACTGAAAGCACCATGTGTGTGATATATCGTTGTAAAGAGAAAAAAAAGACGTAATCTCAAAATGTGAAAAATTCAAAATGGCGCCCATAAGAAAAACTAACGTTGCTACGTGTTTCTCCGTTATATTGAAAGTTATTAAAAACAGGATGCCATATTTGAAATCTCCATTAAAAAGTGTCCGTCTAATGTGTTAATTAGAAATGTCTACTATGATTAGTTTATCATAAAAAAATTAAAAACGAAAATCAGAAATTGTGGTTTTTTTGCGATATTTTCAAAACTATTGAAGATATTTCAAATTTCTTTTCAGATTCTTATTCAGCACGAAAATTGGCAACTTTGCCCGCATTTAACCAACTTTCTATCTCTTAAGATAAGTGAGATCCCCAAAGTGGCACTCGAAAAATGGACACCGTGTATACATTCAACCTTTTCCTGAAACAGATTTTGTTGGGGAGGTTTCCATATCCCCGCGGTGTTACATTCCTCCCAAAACCGTTTGTCTCACGCCTGCCATTACATTCTCGGCAGCGAACTTAGCACCGGGGGTTCGAGGGGGGGGGTATGGACCCAATATAATTATACGAAGACATGCGTTAATTTAAAGGGACATTGAATCTTTCCCCACCATGGGATGCACCTTGTCGTGGTGGTGGGGCTTAGTAGTCACAATTTTGTGGCGAAGCCAAGCATCTTAGCCGGATAATTATTAGACTCCGTACTCATTGCAACGTTTCGTACGTGCTACCCAATTTAAAGATCATTTGCCCAATTCCAGTAAATTAGGTTCAAAGGATGCCCTACCATTCCAATGCTCCATGGAGTAGAGAAATCCCAAAGGCTCCACGATCGCTCATTAAACGTAATATAGGAAATTATATTGACATAATTTTTACGCACGTTCACTCCCGAGGCGTGCGGTAGACGACATTTGGACAACTTCTGATTCAAGGATTTCTGGTAAAGGTCGATTTATTTTCCTGGTATTTCTCATGATTCACTGAACCAACAAAACCAGGAGGCTTATATAAGTAGTAGTGCGAATCGCACTATGGTTAACACATATACATTTATACTTGCCTGGGATGGATTTTTTTGGGGGGTACTTCATACTGGTAGTTTTTGAGTTATTGGCATTTTTGGAAAAAAAAATAACATTTCATTCAAAAAATGCCAAGAACTACCGGGTAAGGGCATACAGAATGGTAATAAAACTGGCCCTAAAATTCAAATCTACATTCATTTCTATCATCATGACCTGACGTTTTCGATATTTTTAAATTGTTAACTTTGCAAAATCGCAGCGGCCAGTTTTCAAGACTTTCAATGTCACTCAAAAAATTCCCTAGACTTGAAAGATTCGATTATAAAAAAGAGCACTCACTTATCTTGAACGGTTTAAGAGATATGAATTTTTGAATGGACCCTTGCATCTCCAAATTTGTAGAGAAACATTGACATATGTCAAAAAATATGACAGTCGGTAGGCAAATCTTAAATGGGTTGAGTTCTATCTAAAAAATAATCAGATAGTGCCAGCTTCCGGCATTTACTGTAGCGGCGCCATCTTGAAATTATTTTATTTCAATTTGCAATGGTCGATTATGGCTGTGAACAACATTTCAGGTTTCTATTTCAAATGCAAGTTTAAAAATTTCTAACGAACGGGCTAAAATGAATCTCCCTGTATATTTTTTTAACTCCCAAAATTTTATTCCAACGACTCAATCTTTTAATCTTTGTGAAGTTGTAGAGACAAAGTAATTTTTGAGATAATTTGTTTCTTTAATGGAGCAAAATCTAATTGCTACTGCAATGGTGCAAAAACTATCGGCATGGCATAAGAAATTACTTTTTGTATGAGAGTATATGATGCTCTTAATATAAAGAGAGATGATGGATGCAGTAAGAGCATAACTGAAGCATCTTTCCTTCATTAGGGGAGATGTTTCAAGGTTCCACATTTTTAAAGACTAAAAAAAACGTACACAGGAAATTTCTTGAAATTCTGATCACTTTCATTATCCGGCCAAAAATTTCAGCCGAAGGTTTCTTTTTATTTTCAAAAACTACAATTACAGATTGAGGGTGGGCATTTAAACACAAATTTACCAAATCGGAAACATCCTATCCCGAGGCGTATTATGTCCCTTGACAAGTCACATGGTTTCCAAAAAAAATTGCAATTTTTTGAATTTTTGAACGGTATCTTGTAGACGAAATAATTGTGAGCTAAGGTTTATTTGAAAAATATGTTTTGGTGTACTTCCTCATCCAATTTTCCTTGGTACAACTCAAACGTAACACTGTAGAAATTAGCCTTTAATTGCAGCGAGTTTCCTAAGGAAAGTGTTCAACGGGTACACGTTTCAGGCTCGTGATGAAAACAAAAGATGGAATTGCGTCATGACGTGGTTATTTACCGTCTCTGTTTCGTGGAATGCTAAACATGTTTTTACCTATACCAAAAGCTTGAAATAACATTTTAATCAGCTCAGAGAATTGCACACTTTCTCCCTTTTGAAAAAACCAGTTACCCGTTCAATTAATTTCGTGGCGCCTTCGCCAGGCATTACGTAAGATCAATATTGGGTGTGAAAAACGATCAATGCTAAACAAATCACGTTGTCGCGAAGCATCAATATCCTCTATTAAGTGTTTTTCCGTTATGTTTACGTACATTATTAACCGAGCGCAAACAACATAATCAGATTAAACATAAGTATGCAAATTGACTATATGGCAAAGAAAGT